GAGTATGCTGTTTTAATGACTTTACAATATCATTTACATTGTGTTCCTTACATTTTCCCTAATTGTATGTTATATAGGGATGGGTATTGATAAGATTTTAACGATTCCGATTCCATTTTCGATTCTGTTTAACGATTCGATTCCTTATCGATTCTTTTTTTTTAAAAAGGAGAACACTAAAGTCGATTAGCTTAGAACTGTGTTTTATATCTTCTCTTTGAACAAGATAGAAATTTAGGAGTAACATGGCCTTACAAACCCAACAGTGAGATCTTAAGAGATCCAGCCTACGGCTCTTCAATGGGGTGTCACAGGGTCCCCAGGAAAAAAAATGTATATGTAAAATAATAAAATAAATATTCTCCTGTAGCAATAACAAAGTTTAACATAAATTATTCTGTAGCAATTACACAAGAATATCCAGTAATGTCCCTGCCTACAATTAAACACATGCACTTACCAAAGTGAAATCGGGGGCATCTGCTGTGGCAAATGGGTGCAAGCCTTTGACCACAAACTTAGACACTGCTCGGTGACATTCGTCTATCCTGGCCTGAAAGGAGATGCTACCGGTAGACTGCAGCGAGAACTGCCAGCATCTGAGCCAGCCAGACTCTGTCTGTCTCATCATGGTCACTAAATGCAACGCACAGTAATAGCAGGTTTTGTAATAAGGTAAATCGCGCTAACATAATGTGCAATGCTAATTGATTAGTTACCTGCAGTATTAACGGGAGAGGACGTGGAAACGCTACCGCTGCTGCTGGGTTGAGCTTCACTAGTCCGGAGCGGATCAAAAACACGACATTCGTTGAACGCAATCGCGTGTTTTTTGAGCAAATGCTTTTGCATGTTCGTAGTGTTTCCTCCCTTTGATGAAATCTCTACTTTGCAAGTATTGCACGTTGCCCTGTTGTCATCCTTTCTCATAAAGTGTAACCAAACTTTTGAGCGTTTGTGCCGCTCAGGCGCCGTGTTTCCTACTGGGTAAAAGATGCTACTCAACGTGATGACGTCATTCGGGGCGACTGGAATCGATAAGGGAATCGTTTATAAAAGTGGCAAACGATTCCAAGGAATTGAAACAGTGGGAACCGGTTCTCAACAAGAACCGGTTTTCGATACCCATCCCTAATGTTATATTAATCCTATATTTCCATCCATCCATCTTCATCCGCTTTATCCGAGGCCGGGTCGCGGGGGCAGCAGCCTAAGCAAAGAGGCCCAGACCTCCCTCTCCCCAGCCACCTCCTCCAGCTTATCCGGGGGAATACCAAGGCGTTCCCAGGCCAGCCGAGAGATATAATCTCTCCAGCGTGTCCTGGGTCTTCCCCGGGGCCTCCTCCCGGTGGGACATGCCTGGAACACCTCACCCAGGAGGCGCCCAGGGGGCATCCTTGTCAGATGCCCGAACCACCTCAGCTGGCTCCTTTCGATGTGGAGCAGCAGCTGCTCTACTCTGAGCCCCTTGGCCGACCTTCTCACCCTATCTCTAAGGGAGAGGCCAGCCACCCTTCGGAGGAAGCTCATTTCTGCCGCTTGTATCCGCGATCTCGTTCTTTCGGTCACTACCCACAGCTCGTGGCCATAGGTGAGGGTAGGGACGTAGATCGACCGGTAAATTGAGAGCTTCGCTTTTACACTCAGCTCCCTCTTCACCACGACGGACCGGTGCAGCGTCCGCATTACTGCAGCTGCAGCCCCAATCCGTCTGTCGATCTCCGGCCCCCTTCTCCCATCACTCGCGAACAAGACCCCGAGATACTTGAACTCCTCCACTTGGGGCAGGAACTCATCCCCGACTCATCCTATATTTCCGTTTTTATATTTCTAATGTTTGCCTTGTTTTCTTCACTGTCTAGTCTGCCTCTGTCTTGCCTGTATGGATGCATTTACACCGAAATGTCCCCAACAAAGGATGTTTTAATTCACCACTATTCCAGTGAAACACGAGTCTCCCATCTTCCTGCTACCAGTCTGGAGTTTTTGTTCACCAAAGCACACACCAACTTCATACTGACGGACAGATCACTGCCCTTTTGCCGCCTTGTCTGACCGTGTTTTGTGGCTGTGGTTCACTTCACCTCACTCTTCCCCATTCTTGTCATTAAATCAGGCTGTTCTGCAACCATGGCAGCCATTCACTCTATGGCTTTATTCATGGTGTATTTTACCCCTTCACCAAAGGCCGTTCTCTTTTCCAACATTATATTTGCAGTGTTCGTCTATCTATCAATATCTGCGGAGTATTTTTTTAAACGAGTATCCTATTTTCTAAAGCACAGCATGTAAAGGGTAGCTCGGTTAGCAGGATGCTAGCATGTAGCGCTTAGTGAGACACGCCTCAGACGAGTTGAGCAAAGACCCCGTCTGTGTACTTTATACGTGAGCAACGGATTTAAATAAAATTAAGGTTTCAAAAGACAAACTTGAAGATAAAAAAATATATATACTCACCGGAGAGCCGCCAGGGTTTGCCGCTGCCATCTTGGCGCTCCTAAATTCAAAACTGCCTCTGCAGTCAGGCAGGGGAGGCGTGGAAATTGTCTTTGAGTTAGTCAAACGTTTTCCTTAGTTCGAGTAGATGATAAAAAAAATAATAATAATAAATGGGATTTTAAGTAGGACTAGGCGTTCTGTAATGATCTCTATTTAGGAGAAAAACTTAATCACTCACCTTTAAACAGCTCTCTTTTAGGAGACACACTGCTGGCTAACGGTGTCATGTGATCAAACAGCATAATTTAATTGGCTGAGAGCCACTTGACTCGATCTGGTGCTGATTGCTCTGGCTTGGGTCATTAAAGTTCATCACTTTTGCAGTTGAATTTTTTTCAGGTGAATTTTTGCAGGTGAATTTTTTGCAGGTGAATTTTTTTCAGGTGAATTTTTGCAGGTGAATTTTTTGCAGGTGAATTTTTTTCAGGTGAATTTTTGCAGGTGAATTTTTTGCAGGTGAATTTTTGCAGGTGAATTTTTGCAGGGAAATTTGGAGGATAAAAATTCAGTGTCATAAATTCAATGTCTAAAAATACTTGAATTCTGATGATACTATATTTCTTCCATAGTGAAGCTCGCACACAAGAATTTCACTCACATGTGCTGTACCAATGTACCTGCACATGTGATGTGACAATAAAAGTGATTTGATTTGAAACGGTTATCACAGCTTGTACATTTTCTTTTTACACATGTATGTAAGCATTTGAGCCAAATTTAGTAATGCCAACATACTGAAGGAACAACATTTGTCTCTTATATATGATACACCTATATATGCACTGTCAATATACATTTTGAACCAGCTGCAGATGTCAGAGTAACAACTGACTGACCCCCACATAAAGTGCGTTACAGTAGTCCACAGGGGAAGAAATAAAAGCATGGATCACGGTTTCAAAGTGCTGCCTAGAAAGAAAAGATTTCACTCTTGCCAGTCGCCTTAAATGATAAAAATGGACTGGTCCAACTTAAAACCAAGGGCAGTAACAACAGGTTTAAAATAAACTTCCAGGGGTTCCAAATGAAAAGAAGAGGACTCACAGGGGCCACTGGGTCCAAACACCAACAAATCTGTTTTCTTTTCATTCAAATTTAAAAAGTTTAGAGCCAACCAAGCTTTAATGTCATCTAGGCATGTCAAGAGAGGTTTTATTCAGATGCCATCCTTCGGCTTCAGTGGCAAATAAATTTGGCAGTCATTCCTATATACTTGTCTTTGAGTGAAGATTTAAGGTGGTAAGACATGTAAATAACTGCAACTTGAATCTGTACTGAAGCTCAGTATTTGACACAGAGTTCATGTTCACTGCTGTAATACCTAATAATGACTAATATAATAACCATAATATTGGCCATATTATATTTACATTACCAAAGTGATATGACTTTAGTCTCATGAACAACATTAGCTAATTGTTATTTACTAGCTAATCTTAAATGACTGTTCAGTACAGAAATGAAGCCCAAAAATCATGTTTTACTGTCCTGTGGTCTCAGCCTCAGATACTTATCAAATCACACAAAGCTCTTGTAGAAACAAACAAACAAATGAAAAAAAATATGTTCTCCTTCATTTCTGTCAAAAAAAGTTGTACGACACGTTTCCAGCTGTTAGTATCATAGTTGCTAGGCAACCTGGGAAGCGCTACGGAGACTAGAGCCCATGTGTTTGCAACAAACTTGCCGTTTATTTTACAAATCGAGCTCAACACTGCCCCTAGCGTCCTGGAGCACTTCCGTTGTGATTTGGATTTTGCATGTGTTTTGGATTTTGTATGTGTTTTGGAGTTTGCATGTGTTTTGAATTTTGTACGTGTTTTGGAGTTTGCATGTGTTTTGGAGTTTGCACGTGTTTTGAATTTTGTATGTGTCTTGGATTTTGCACGTGTTTTGGATTTTGTACGTGTTTTGGATTTTGCATGTGTTTTGGATTTTGTACGTGTTTTGGATTTTGTACGTGTTTTGGATTTTGTATGTGTTTTGGATTTTGCATGTGTTTTGGATTTTGTATGTGTTTTGAATTTTGTACGTGTTTTGAATTTTGTACGTGTTTTGGAGTTTGCACGTGTTTTGGATTTTGCACGTGTTTTGTATTTTGTACGTGTTTTGAATTTTGTACGTGTTTTGGAGTTTGCACGTGTTTTGGATTTTGCACGTGTTTTGTATTTTGCACGTGTTTTGGATTTTGCACGTGTTTTGTATTTTGTACGTGTTTTGGATTTTGTATGTGTTTTGGAGCTTGTACGTGTCTTGGATTTTGTACGTGTTTTGGAGCTTGTACGTGTTTTGGATTTTGTATGTGTTTTGGATTTTGTACGTGTTTTGGATTTTCTACGTGTTTTGGATTTTGCATGTGTTTTGGATTTTGTATGTGTTGAGGAGTTTGTGCGTGCTATTTGGAATTTGTAAGTGTTTTGGAGTTTATACATGCTTTGTCTCTAGGGGCCACCGTACCGAGCCGCCCCAGTCCGTGTGAGTCCGGATAACGGGACCCGCTCATGCTCTGCCCGCAGCACGCCAGCCCCAGATCCAAGAAGCGAAGAGCAGCGGGGAAGAGCCCGGAGGTAAGAGAGGGGGAGGGCAGGGCGTGGAGGAGGAGAGCCTGTCTGTCATCTGTCTGTAACTCCCCCACCCTTCACACACACATGTCCGTCGGTCTGTCGGAACCGGACAGGAGGAGCAGCTCCGGGCAGCAGCCGCCGAGAGGCGCTGAGGCCTGGAGAGATGCTGCTGAAGAGCCGCTCCTCTCCTCCAGCATCAGCTCAGTGTCTGTGGTTGTCTGTGTGTATGTGCATCTGAGTGTGTGTTGTGCACACTTGTCCACATCATGAGCAGTTTTCTTCACTGGTTCTATGCCGTGATGAAAAACAGGAAGATCCCCCCCTCCCTTCCCCAGACTTTTTACCTATGGAACCCTTTGGAGTGAGCTGTCCAATCACCTCTGACCTCTTGAGAAGGGCAGAGCTTCACAGAGTGAGCTCCAGAGTGGATGTGAAGTCTCAGTGACTGATGGAGGAGCTGATCTACTCCATGTGTGCCCGTGTGTCAGCCTCTGATTGGACAGAGCGTCTGTGGCACTGCTGTCTGTGCTGCAGAGGAGCTTCATCTATCCTTCAGCTGTGTCTGCAAGAGCTCCTGCATACAAAACCCAGTGCTCAAACTCCAAACTCTCACTTCATCTGTTCGTGTGGTTCACACAAAAGTATTGACAGTACTGATGATACTGCAGTATATGTGCAGAAAAACACTAAAGCAGTGAAGTTTTAATGTCAGTGACTCTCACCTGTGCGAGTGTGTGTGTGAGATCATGTGGTCATTTGACAGTTGGGTATTTCGTGTTAGAAATCGGAAATATCTTTAATCCGTTCCCAGGAAACAGAATCATCTCTGAGCCGTTATTTCAAATTAGAAGTTTTATAAAACGCTCGTGTTTTATTTTCTGCTGGTCAGTGCTTTAGTTCAACTTTTAACTCTAAAGATGAAATGAACAGTTGATTTGCTCATGCTCTGTGTTTTTAATAAATATCACATATTTGACTGCATGACCCCGTTTCTGTGCCGAACCTCTGTAATCAGAGCACTGTGAATAAAAATGTCTGTAGGAGTTCATTCAGTGCTTAATTGAAAGTTGAAGGTGTTTGAACCTCAGACTCAGGCTGGTGTGGACAACCTGCAGGTCCTTTTGGACCTGACTACACACCTGCAGGTGCCTCAGCTGTCAGGATTCAAACACACACAAATCAGTAAGAGCAGGATTGTCTGAAATTACTCATTTTGTCTGATTAAATATTTAAAATCTGTTACAGTGGCACAACAGGCCCGCACAAACCCACCTGTATCACCTGCCTCTGTCTTCATTTCCCAGGATGCTCTGGGGTTTCTCAGCAGGCCTGTGAAGATGAGTGTGACATCATGGTTCCTGGTAAGCAGTTCGGGGACTCGACACCGCCTCCCCCGAGAGATGATTTTTGTGGGCCGAGAGGACTGCGAGCTGATGCTTCAGGTGAGGCTGACCTGTGCAGGTGTTCGGGTTAGTAGAAATTGCCTCCCTCTAGGTTGGTCTGAAAAAGGAAGTTGTAATGGTGTCTTGTTTGAGTCGCAGTGAAAGTAAGCAAAAAGAGTTGTATGTGTGTGTGTCTCAGTCTCGCAGTGTGGACAAACAGCACGCTGTCATCAACTACAACCCGACCACTGATGAACACCTGGTGAAGGACCTGGGCAGCCTCAATGGGGTGAGCCATACACAACATATCAGTACATTATCATAGGTATCCACCAATCAGCAGCAAACACAGGTGGGGGGTGGTGATGCCTAAAGTCACAGGTCACAGGGTGGCTGTAGCTCAGGTGGCAGAGCAGGTCAGCCCCTAATCAGAAGGTCGGTGGTTCGATCCCAGGCTGCATCCTGGCTGCTTGCCAAATATCCTTGGGCACGATACTAACCCCGTGTTTGCCTACTGGTGGTGGTCAGAGGGCCCGGTGGCGCCTGTGTCCGGCAGCCTCGCCTCTGTCAGTGCGCCCCAGGGCAGCTGTGGCTACAATGTAGCTTGCTATCACCAGTGTGTGAATGTGTGTGTGAATGGGTGAATGACTGAATGTAGTGTAAAGCGCTTTGGGGTCCTATGGACTAGAAAAGCGCTATACAAATGCAGGCCATTTACAGTACAAAGATTTTTTTTTTTTTTATTAACTTAAAAAAATTTAATTCCACTTTAATTTAAACAGGCAAGAACTGTAAAATCACAAAAGAGTGAAAACCTTCAGAGTGGACTTCAGGATCATAATCAGAAACTTTCACCTGGACGTTTGTTTGTTTGTTTCCTGCAGACAACGACCTTCGGATTCCTGATCAGACCTACATCACCCTCAAACTGTCCGACATCATCGGATACGATATCCTTCAGACGCACAGACACGCACTGTTTGTGTGCGTGTCTGTGCGCGCGTGTGTGTTTCTGTGCATGTGTGTGTGTGTGTGATAATTTTAATATTTTTCTGAGCTGTTGTTCACATTCTCACGTCTACGTTCTGGAGAAAAGTCAACACAAAGTCCCAGAGGAGGCCCTAAAGGTTGGTGTTTGTGGGTGTGTGTTTTCTATTGTACAAATTACTGCATAGAGGGTGTTATTTAATTTCCTTGTTTAACTGCATTTAGTTTGCATTTCCAAAACTACTCAGAGCGTCATGAATTTCTCATGACTACACACAGCATGTACAGTACCGTGAGCACATGCAGTACCTTGAGTACGTTTGCCTCATTCTTCTGTTTCAGCATGAGAAGTACAGCAGTCAGCTGCAGATGAGCCTAAAGCCTTCAGAGGGGAAGAAGAGTGACGTGGATGAGCGGGCGAGAGGCGAGAAAGCGCAGAGTACCAAGAGCCTCGCACAGGGTAACAATAATACAGCAACAGTACTGGCAGTAAATATACTGTGTATCAAATGTACTCCTAACAATACTGGGCGTAATACAAGCAATAACACAAAATTTTGACATCACACAGGGTCAAAAATATACTGCACTGTACAAAACATAATGTATCACAAAACCCTGCACCAGACCTAGACAAACCACAATACACAATTGAAGGCATGTGCTTGTATTATTTTGGCCAATCTTAGTAGTGTTTCAGCCTCACTGGATGGAATGCTAAGCAATTTTCCTCTCATTCATACACATGTGCTAACATGCATGTCTTGCCTGCAGAGCTGCTTGGGCGGCTGAATGTCTTGCTCAAGGCAATGTGGACTGGAGGAACCAAGGACTTAAACTGCCATCTACTACTGTCTACTGCTCTACCTGCTGAGCCACAGCTGCTGAAAGACAGCAGGAGAGGCAGGTGGAGCCACAGGAGTGTTACAGCGTAAAACAAACACACACAAGCTCAGGCACACTGAACCAGCCAATATACAAGAAGGGCCTCCAGTACACTAGATCTTCATTTCCCTCTGCTTTTAATTTAAATTCCTGTACTCTAAATATTTCCTGTCATACCACAAAAATAAAGATCCAGTGCTTTGGCCTGTAGGGCTGTCCATCACATCGCATCATATCACATCACAGTTTTGTCAAATATCTCCTTCCAGCACCATCTGTCCTTGATGCCCAGACAAGCAAACGTGGCTCCATAGGAGCTTTCTCTTCACTGAGACCAGAATATGATCAGAATAGGATAGCTATGCTCTCGCTGTCCACAGCCTTCAGTCACAAATTGTTACTGTCACTCACTTCTGAGGAATTTACCACCGGAGAATCAGAATCACCACATCCCCATAAGTCATCATCTTCTCTGTAATTCTGTTTGTGGATTTATTGGCTGTGTGTGTGTGTGTGTGTGTGTGTGTGTGTGTGTGTGTGTGTGTGTGTGTGTGTGTGTGTGTGTGTGTGTGTGTGTGAGAGAGATTAATGAGGGTGATAAAGGAACTGTAGGCCTCCATATTTCCTGAGTGATCAAAGGAGCTGCTCTGATGAGTCAGAAGGAGCCACCGTCCCCACTGTGCAGCATACTCAGCGTTTCCATACATCTGACATCCAGCTGTGTTTTTGTCATTTATTTTGGGGGAGTTTATCTCATTAAAACAGGTCTCAGGAAGAGTCAGCACTGATAACAGAAGGACTCTGTCACACACACACATGCAAACAAATATATTTGTACATGAGTGATGCAAAAATTGTTCTACAACTCTCCGCTTTAAAACAGAACTCACAAGGCCTCGGTCAAAGTTTAGTTCATGTTAAACAAAAGGCTGCAATGCTCACAAATACACAGGACACAAAGGTTTCAGCAATGTTGCGCACAGTCCTCGGCCTCCTGTGATGTGTGGTGCAGTCTTGCGGTGTAAACACCCGGTGTCCACATGTTTTATGACTGTAGCTGACAGTAACTGTAAACACATGCTGCTGCTTTCTTTTATGGAGTCAGAGACAGGCTGACTGGTAGTGGGAGGAATAAGTACAAGCTTCCACCTTTAGCTTCCGTCCAGCTTCTCATTATGTTCTCAGGTGTCTTCTCTGCATATAAACTCCTCACACTGCACTGATGGCAGGACAAATCGTCTATCTCCAGCTGAGAGCGAAAAGTTCAGCTTCACAGTGCTGCGAAAAAGTATTTGCCCACTTCTCAATGTTCTTTTTTGTTTGTTTGTTTTTTGTTTTGGGGTTTGTTTGTTTTTTTTGGCATATTTGTGACTCTTACATGTAAAAAGGAGCATTAGGTTCACAGTAAGAGAAAAAAGCTGAAATATGGAGATTGAACGTTTTATTTTAGATCATTAAATCAAAGTTACTATTAGACAAAAATAGCCTGAGTAAATGCAAAAGGCAGTGTTTTTGTTAACTCATAAATGAACCCTGAATGACGTTTGTTTGGATCCCTGAGTTCAGTTTCAGTAGCCACACCCAGATAAACGAGACACGCCTGACAAAGCTAAGTAGGCTAGAAGAGCTCATAAAACATCACAGCACAATCGAAAGAAACAACCGAGAAACAAAGTAACTTCTCTCGGCCTGGAAAGGGTCACAAAGCCATTTCCTCGAGGTCATTACTATCATTTCTGCTCCTGACAACAGAAGTCATTTACAAATGTTGTTATTAACAGTTTCATTACTAGTCATTTCCTACAACTGCTGGAGACTGTTACTCAAATATGAAGAATGTTGTATCACAGTTTTGTTTTTCCTTGAAGTATTTTTAGCTGCAGGTCCGTGTATTTCAGTGTGGTTTATTATACTGAATGACTAAAAATAAACTACACTGTGTTTTTCTGATACACATCCAATTAAACAGCTAGCTCATTAATATTTTTTTAATTTTTTCCGGGTACAAGAGATACCTGGTGCGCAGATGTGGGATTTTTGAATTTAGGATTGTTTCACACATTTCCAGAGATAAGAAACATTTTGTCAAACTGGACTGTCAAGCACAAACAATTCCATGCCAGCTACAAACAGACTCTTGGCAAATGCAAATACAGTCAAGGCTTTCGTTTTTGATGCTTTTTATAGTCCCACTGTTGCAAAGTGCAAATGGTAAATGGACTGATTCTTATATAGCACTCCTGGAGCAGTCAAAACGCTTTATGCAATATGCCTCATTGACATAAGCTCTTCTTCTTATGCTTGAGTGATTCCTAACATTCACACACATTTATACTCCAGTGGATGCATCGGAGAGCAACTTGGTGTTAGTATCTTGCCCTAGGATATTTGGCACACAGACTGGACAACAACAACAAATGCTTGCTCAAAGAAGCTCCTTTGATTGTTGGGGTTTTCTCCAGTGTAAGGTCTTTACAATATGAAGCATCTTAAGTGTTCTGTGTTGTTGTGATTTGATGCAAAATATGTATTGCCTGGACCCTTCTTCTATGAAGCCCTACTGTTTTAACAGGTCCAGCATGAGGTTTAGGGTTGTCTTGTTGAAATATAGAAGGCCTTCCCTAAAAAGGAGCTGTCTGTGCTGGAGCATGTGTTTCTCTGAAACCCATGTGTATTTTTCAGCATTTTGCTGGTGACGTTCCACATGTGCAAGCTGCCAGTTCTATAAACACTGATACACCATCAGAGCTGCTGGCTATTTAGCTGAGTGCTAATAACAAGCCAGATGGTCACTTTACTTTTCAGTCCGGAAGATGAGGTATCTATGTTTTCCAAAACAAATTTCAAACTTTGGTTTGTTTGAACAGTTATCCATTTTGCTTCAGTGTTCCTGAGTCCATGCAGTGATTTCCATTACAGAATCATATCTATCATTACCAAACTGATTCTCATTTTGTCCTGTACGCACAGAGATTCCTCCAGGTGCTCTGAATTTTTGATAATATTATGTAGTGTAGTTAACACGGCATTCAGAGTCTTCCCAGTTTTACACTGACAAACATTATGCTCACATTTTTCACAGACTGATGAACCTCTGTCTCTCTAAGATGCGCTTTTTTATATCCAATTATTTTGCTGTCCTAATGTAAGTAGTAAGTACTGATTATGTCTGTGAAGGTTCTTAGTCATCCAGGTCATCGTAGTCAAAGGAGCTTGCAAAGAAAAGCGTCTGGACTTCTTTAAGTTACTTTAAGACGTTTCACCTCTCATCCGAGAAGCTTCTTCAGTTCTAAGGTCAAATGGTGGAGAGTCCCAGATATAAACCTAGTGGGAGTAACCCCCCACAGATGGACAAAAGGACCCCCTGATGATCCTCTAATCGCCTGAGCCAAGGTGTGAGTAAGTAGTTATTTTATTAATTAGTTACATTTTAAAAACATGACGCACAACCTGAATACGTAATAACGCAACAGACATTTCAGCTCAATTCA